AGATTCTTCAGATGTATAGTATAGGAGCAGCAAACTGCACTGGCATTTGTATTACACATAAACCCTTGAGAACAAGAGAAAAAGGTTGGTTTGTTTTATTAAATTTATGTGCTGCCCATCTGGTCCAGAGGCAACTCTGGGCAGCTTGCTGTTTCTAATGAGAGGTTGGTTGAAAAACAATTAATTATCTATTTTTTTTTCTCAGCCTCATTCTCCAGAAGAGCAGCTTGAACAAACCTTGGGTCACTTCTCCTCTGCGTCACCAGAATCGTGTCTCGAAACCACAACTGTTACTGGTTCTCTTAAGACTGTCCCCATTCCTAAACCAAGGACAATGCATCCTGGCAAAATCGTTGAGAGGAGCAGCAGCAATGAAAGGCAACCAACTACCTTGTCTCTTTTAGAGGAAAGTTCTCATATTCCTTCTCTGAATTTGACTCAGGCTCCAAGAGTTCCCCCAAGGAGAAAGAAGTCAGCTCCTCCTGATTTTCATCTGCAAGTGCTCCAGAACAGCAACAACCTGTTTCTAAAAGGGCTGACGTTCAATTCCAACAATAACAACTTTCCAGCACCATATTTTTCCACAGTGCAGGATTCTGATGCATTTCCATCTTCTCTGAGTGAACCCTCTCTGCTTGCTACGACAGTCGTGATTAGCTCAAAAGACCATGATGCTAAGCTCTTGAGGCCGACTGATTTAGAGTTAATTGGTGACCAACAGCCAACTCCTCCCTTACGGATTCAGCAACAACAGCAAGCTTCAGACAATCATTGTCCAATGGAAAACACCAATTTGTTAGACCTGGAAGTAGACTTTGTTGCTTGCCAGCCAGTGGTTCAGCCATTACCAGCGAATCCACCTCCTGCTTCACAAAATTTGAAACACTCCTGTCCAAGGGATTTCAGCCATTGGGTCACATTTGAAGAAGAAGGCAACAGTAGCACTATATCTCAGGGTTAATTAAGCTCTGATCTCAGTTTAAAATTATGAACTTATTTTTGTACTTTTTCCCAGAAAAGCCCATTATTTTCTAAACTTTATTATAAAAGGAAATAAATTCAGCAAATCATGTACAGCAGCGGTCGCCAACCTTTGCGGCTTGGAGGCTGAGTGGGGGGAGAGGAGAACTGGGCCGCGCAAGTGGTGGCCCACCACGCACATTGGCCCATCACTTGTGCGAATGGAGCTGTGCATGCACGTGCTGGTCCGCCACATATGCAAGTGGAGCTGCACATGTGCTGGCCCATCTCTCACATAGCCTGGTTCTAAATAGGCTACAGCCTGGTAGTGGGCCATGGCCCAGGGTTTGGGGACCCCAATTTATGGTATAGCACTCATCTCTCCTCACTCCTTGGTGATTTCTGGTTCGAGAGTTTAATAGTAAATTCAATAACAAATATTTATCATATGCATGTGTGCTATAACGAGGCCTGCTCCAATTACTCTTTACTTACACTTTGCTCATTTCTGAATTCCATACCACAGGTGGTTGCTTGCCCTAGTTTTCTACTGTAAAAAGATGGGACAGTTAATTCTGCTTTATATACTAAGAGGTATTCTGTCATTCTTGACCCATCTGCATGCTTAGAACCATGGTTCACAGCCTTAAATTATTTTTATCCTCGTTATCAATGTATGCAAAGTAGGAACAAATTTGCATTTCAAAAGACCTGTTGGTAAGAGCAAAAATGGTAATCTGATTCTGTCTAGTAATAGCTGTCGTCAATAATATAGAGGGAAGTCCAGGGTGGTTTTAGAAGTGGTGTGGTAAACATGGGGCTGGTAATATCCAAAATACCCATTCAAGTTTAACCTGTGATATATGCCTGTATGAAACATGGAAATGTGTACTCTGCATAATGTGGTTATAGATCTAGCTTGTTTTGAATAGGAGCCTGAAGGGGTGAAGACGAGAGTTATTCCCTTACAGATCACCTCATAGGATAAACCAGTTAATTTTCTATTATATAGGATAGATCTGATTTATTAATATGAATCTGAATTAATATGAATAAGAGTGTATTTTCCATGGAAGAAACGACCTAAATATGACATAGGTCGGAAATAACACAGGTACATATATGAGAGGCCTCTATTCTCATTTTTAGTATTTAAACCTCAAGTATTCTTTGGCTAATAAAATGTCCAGTGGATTATTGGGGAAAAACACTAATTACTATGTGCACTGAAAGGCTAATATTTTTATGCACAAATCATTTTACATATTTTACAACGTAAAAGATGCAATGATCTAGCTTTACAGTTCAGGTGAGAAATAAAAATCTAGGATCTGATTTGTAATTTAATAGAGAAAAGAATTATGTTGCTTTAGAACACTAGTGTTGCAACGTATCGTGACTTTTTTCGCATTGCCAGAGCTGGGGGTCAGCACGGCCTCCACATGATACAACCGGCCTGTGGGCCAGCAGTTTGACACCCCTGCTTTAGAAGAAGCAACGAAGTTTATGATTTCCTTTCTTCCTGGGGGATGGAATGCAACATGTATTTTTGGCTTTTTTATTCTGTTAATATTAAAAATGTGGTTTATGAAAAACAAGTCTTGGCCTATTCCTGTATAGGTATATATACTATGCATGGCTAAAGGTTAATTAGCTAACACGATGCTATTGTTTTTATTAAATGAACCTTAAAAAAAATAAAGTGCCAAATCAGATAGGTTATTGTGGTTTCCATTCCCCTGCATCAAGTCAACCATTACACCACTCTAAGCAACATTTCAAAAATTAAATCAAGTAATGAAAAGGAGGGTATGTAGCAGTGACAGTTGCCTACTAGAAGACATACTTTTATGTTCTCTAGATGGGTTGCCTGTAACTCCCACGATCTCCCTCTGGTTGTTGCCCTTGGCATGGGACAGCTGGTTAGGGAAGATTGCTCTAACCCTCCCCTTTAATAAGGAAACCACAAGCGTCACTGGTTATTTATGGCTGCATGTTAAGATGAAAAATGAACACCTATTAAAAGGAAGCCTAGTGTACTGTTACTGACGATATTCTCTGCCACATAGATAATTTAACAGCTTTGTGGCAGGTCATTTACATGCTAATAAAAGCATTAGAAAGCAAGTCAATTTAAGTGACTTTATAAATTGCAAATGAAAGTTATTTTTATTGCTCTACTTGAAGTGGTATCCGGCTTTCGGCACTATATTGTATAACTTGCTGCCTAGCGAGATGGCTCATTAAAACTTGAATCTTTCTGGTAACATACTCTGTGCAATCAATTGCAATTTATGCCACTTACCCTGAGCAAAAATGGAACAGGCAAATGTTGCAATAAATAAAAGTCCTGAGCAGTTTTTAAAAACATTTCTTCCACCGAGTAAAATATAACCTCTGAAAATGTTTAATAAAAAAATACTGGTTAAATATATAGAAAGTCTCACAGGCAATGTTGAAGAGCAAAGCTGAATTTCAATTACTTCATTCAAGACCAAATCATAGTCATACCTTACATCGACTCAACACCAGTAGTTTTATGATGCTACTGAGTCATGTATCCATTTAGACAACAGTATTCATAGATTTGATATCATGAATAGTTCACATATTGTTTACTTCGTTATGTATAAATTGCCTAGTGATAGGTAACTTGTTAGAAAGTTTTATTCTGTAAAAATAATTTATGGTGGTTTTTTCCTAAAAGTGTAATGTTATAACGGTAGGTAAGCAATGTAATGATCAAGCGTTTATTTTTTATGTTTACGACATGCCCTTTTTTAATCAGTTGCGTTAGTAAAAAATAAATTCAAGATTTGCCTAAAAAAGTATACGCAAAATAGTATTTAGTTGATAATCACACAAAAAAATATTACAGTAGGTTAGACTATATGTTATTTGGGGTGGGTGGCAATGGGAATGTAAACTTCAGATGGCTCTGACAGTTACAAACGTTTTTGACACTAGGAAATGCAGCCAATTGATATGGATAACCATTTTCCCTTTGTCTACAAAAGGAATCTGCTTTGCCGACAAATATAGTGGCTTAATTTATCATTCTAAACCAGGGCTTTTCAACCTTTTCACCCATTGTACCACTTTTAGGGTATGGCAATATCCGAGTACCACCAGTCGCCTAGCAAGGTGTCAAAAACTTGATGACCAAAAAAGGAAAAAAGTAATGAAGTACAGATAGTCCTTGACTTATAACAGTTCGCTTAGTGACTGTTTGAAGTTACAATGGCACTGAAAAAAGTACCCCCCAAGCCACAGCCGAGCAAGACACCTGCCTGCCCACCCAGCGGTGTTCTTCCTCCTGCCCGAGGTTTTCATTGTTGTGAGCATTTCTGTTGAGGATTGGCAGCGGGGGTGGGGTGGGGGGTGTTTGGTTTTTATTCCCCCATCTGCTGGGTGGTTGCAGCAGGTTTTGGTCACTTCACATGACCCTGGGACACTGTGACCGTTATAAATATGAATCAGTTGCCAAGCTTCTGAATGTAAATTACAAGACCCTGGAGATGCTGCAACATTCCAACTGATTGGCACTTCTTCTGGGCTCAGCAGAAGCACCAGGATTAGCGCCGAGCTCCAGCTGGAGCCTGGCGCTAATCCTGGCACTTCCACTGAGCCCTGACAGCCCCGAAGAAGTGCTGATCCTGGCACTTCCGCTGAGCCCTGACAGCCCTGCAACTCCAGCCATCTCTTGCTCAGGCTTGTGCGGTGCTGCCACCGGTTCAACTCATTCCCCTCCCCCCACTTTTCTAGGATGGTCGCGTACCATCTGCCAGGTGCCAATGTACCACAGGTGGTACCCGTACCACTGGTTGAAAAGCCTTGTCCTAAACCATAGCCAAGGTTTACTAAGGTTCCCTATAACCTCCACACCATGGTTTGTAACAGCTGACAATATCAGTTGTGACTTCCAACTCAAATAATTATGGCAATTTTACCACTGGAATATTAAGCAAATGGAACATAAAACAGGACAAGCAATCTTCAGGAAGAATTTTTTTCATTTACATAAAAAAATCAAGCCATAGTTTGGTTTCATGTTGGAACTGAACAACTGCTTTATACATTATATTATTGAAGATTCAAAATACTTAAATGGCACCAGCCAAAGGGAAGACTTTCTACCCTCCTGGAGTGTTTCGCATTTTCAATATTGCAATATATATTTGGCAGGCTATTCAGATTACATTGAGACTGAATTTTATCTTCTGAGTTTTGCAAAAATTTAAGTGGTAAAAAGACATAATTCTGATTCATCTCAAGTGAGTGCTCCCTTGACTAATCCGGCCTTTTATGCAGAATCAAACAACAATTCTGAATATATTTTTTTTACTTCATGAGGCATTTTGGTTATAAACTGACCACAGGAAAATCTGTCATCGTGGAATCAAGAAATTGCTTCAGTTCTTTGGAGTAAATAGTTATGGGCTTGTAATAGCTTTCCAAACACTATACAGTAGCACATTTACAGTATACCCTTGTTTTCTGTTTGCATCCAGCTGCAAATACAGGCTAGGGTGCAGATTCATTTGTCATTACACATATTTTCTATTATATTTAAAATATCAGAATGTCCATAAAGAACTTGATATCGTGCAATGTGGGTGTATAAGTACATCAGCATAGGAGAGTAGATTTATGGCATTAGTGTATTTGCTCTCCAGTATGCACGATATATACAGGGGTCAAGTGTCCCCACCCGCCTAGCGTCAGTGACTGAACAAAGTAGTATAGCATAATCATTCATGGCATAGCAGCTTGCTTTCTATATTGAGCAGAGAATGAAGATCTTTTTAGGTAAAAAAACACATGTTTACAAAGCAGTGAAAAGACCTAGGAGCTCAGATAACTGTTTCCTTGTTGTCAAGCATTAAATGGAACTCAAAATGAACAAAAATGCTTTGTACAATATCCAACACCAGAAATGCACCCGCAGTTTGCCATTAGGCAATGTTAAAAATCAGCTTGACTGTAATAAAACAGCTGCCTTGCCAGTAAGGGCTCAGATTCAAAGAAAAGTTGGTGAATTGTTCCAGTAAAAGAACAAATATGCACAGTGTTGCCACTCACTGATTTCCCAGCTCCTTTTTTAGAGAATCTTGAATAAACTTTAAGGTGTGTTGATACAGGAAAGAGTCTTTGTTCTTTGGTTTACAAATGTTGAGATGGCTAACTTCTACCTGAATGAGTTCTCCAATGCCTAAATCTGAAACAGACATGAAAACAAAGAGCATTAAAAATCACAGAAAAGACACACGTCACATATTGACATTCAAGGGATTTCCCCTGGTTTCTAGGCAAGATGGTAGCCTGTCTGTCTGAACCAAATTCTAAACTGTATAAAAAACACCTAAAGTTTATTTTAGCTGGAGTAATCCATAAGCTGTTTCACAGGATGTCGTACATAATTTATGTCTTAGCTGTTTGGGGAATATGTGCACTGGTTTGAAATAACTAATTTTTAAACCCTTTCTACACAATGCATATTAAAAGAAAAACTGCACCTTGTTTTCAGGCCAAACATACATACAATTACACAACGAAATACAGTTAGTTCTCCACTTATAACCGTTCATTTAACGACCATTCAAATTTACAATGGCCCTGAAAAATGTGAATTATGACAGTTTTTCATGGTCACGTGATCATGAGACAGTTGGCAACTGGCTCATATTTATGACAGTTGCAGTGTTCTGGGCTGATGTGATCACCTCTTGTGACATTTTGGCCAACAACCATCAATGGGGAAGCCAGATTCACTTAACAGCCATACTAATTTAAACAACTGCAGTGACAAGAAAGGTTGTAAAATGGGGCAAAACTCACTTAACAACTGTCTCACTGAGCAAGAGAAATTTTGGGCACTGTTGTGGCCTTAAGTTGAGGACTACCTATATAATATAAAAATTCCCACAATATAGAAAAGCCAGAAGCAGTAACTTCAAACCGAGGGCAAATCCAACCCTCCTATTCCTAGTTGTTTCTAAAGAACTACATTGTGTTTGATAATACAGAAACTGTCCTAGTGAAAATGTTCAAATAATTAATGTCACAGTACTTAAAATGTAAGTAATGAGCATATAAAGAAAAAAACATGAGATAGCAAGTTACCTTGGGACCTGAGGTGTAATGATGGTTGATCCAGTGTTCCTCAACTGGAAGTCAATCATTGATTTCTTTGGTGTTTTTTTTTTTTTACTTTTTTCATTAACTCATTTACTTTTTGTTAATTTGTCTAATTTGGACTTACTTTAAGACATTTGGCCTTCCGCTGCTAACATCGGATGTTTTTGCTTTGACAACAGTTGGAGAGGCAACCATTTTCTTCTTATGTTTTACTTTTAGAGTTAGAGCTAGAGTTAGATGATGCTGGGGGGAGGAATGTGCAAGAGAGTTCAGCTAGACGTAACAATGCTGAACCGAGGTTATTGAAATAAGAGATGGTAAGAATTGACGGGCTGGAGGACTGGAGGGAAAGCCTGCATTTCAAATTAATTGGAGAATGTGATTTATGATTGTTAATTGGAGGAGGGAATTGTGCTTTGATACTATGTGCTCAGGGGAGGGGAATCCAGTTTGTGGCTTCGACTATGTTAGTGCCGATACTATGCTTCTCAAATAAAGATTTTTTAAGGTAAACAATGCCTCGAAGTTCTTTGAAGAGTTTCATCTGTCGGAGCCATGACAACATGTAGACTTCAACTCCCAGAATTCTGAGAGTTGAAGTCCACAATCTTAAAAATTGCTGAGGTTAAGAAACACTGCTATAAATGAGTAAAGCCAGATAAATTTCCGAAGGGGAATGCTGGGAATGTCAAACCTGCAGATTCCACTGGCACGACATGCAGACTCAGCATTCTGCCAACTCGTGTCGGCAAAGTTTCCGCAAAGCTTAATACTGGAAAGTTCTGATTCTTGGCAAATGAGATGAAGTCATCATTCAGTGCTTTAAGGGCAGGCGAATCTGGAAAAACACAGAAAAATGAAGTGTGGATTTCTTATTTTAGACATTGCGTTTCAGGCAGAGGTATACATTTGCATGTAATGTTTTTCATATGGAAGATGGATTTCAGTTCAGAAAGGCGCATCTGCGGTCAAGCACTGATTTTAAAGATTGAGTGCCAGTCTGGTATATGCAAGCAAGGCTAGGTGGTATCACAGCCTCTATTTGTTGTGGTGAAGTACATGTAACCCTTGTCTTAAACCAGGGGTCTTCAAACTTGGCAAGACTTGTGGACTTCAACTCCCAGAATTCCTCAGCCAGCCCTGGCTGGCTGAGGAATTCTGGGAGTTGAAGTCCACAAGTCTTAAAGTTGCCAAGTTTGAAGACCCCTGACTTAAACCATTCATTTAGGGACCATTCAAAATTACAGCATCACTGAAAAAAGTGACTTACAACCAGTCCTTGCAACCTCCTTGCTTAGCAAAGGAAATTCTAGTCCCAATGGTCATAAGCATTTCTATGTGTTGCTAGCTTCTTACTGAAAATAAACAAAATGGCCCACCTACAAAAGTTCTATCTATATCAAAGTCTAAAGAGTTATTTTTCTATCCAGGAATGCAAGGGAAGGAAAGTAGACCAGGGGACTTCAAACTTGGCCCTTTTATGATTTGTGGACTTCAATTCCCAGAATTCCTCAGCCAGCATGCCTGGCTGAGGAATTCTGGGAGTTGAAGTCCACAAGTCAAAAAGGGCCAAGTTTGAAGGCCCCTAAAGTAGACTATGGAGCTCTAGGACAGAACTTCCTGTACACAACAAATTGGGGTAGGTGGGTGGGTGACGCAAAACCACAGCTTGCTCAAAGTTGCCTTGAGTTTAAATTTAATAAATAAATAACAGGTAAGGTGTTATGAAATGATTACACTTCAGCTAAGTTTGAATTGAGGATATGTCTGAACTTAACTAAAATTCCCTTTTGCATTCCTATTTAATATCTGTTTCACACGTTTCCTGATATGGTCTGGGAGCAAATATTGGGATATCTCAAATGTGAACTGGCCGGTCCTGAAAGTGATGCTAAGGGACTCTGTCAGAGGCCTTTATACTGGCCTCATTTATATTGACATGAAGCACAGATTGGGAATCTACTGGAATCAGAACATAGATGTCCATCGTACTCTACCTCCCTCTTTCTATAGGAACACTGTAGAGGTTCTGAATGGTGGCTGGAGGCAACAATGACCTATGGGTAAAGACGTTACATTTAATTGAGAAGACTAAAGTGATTCTGACTCTTGCATTAAAACTCGAGCGGTGCCGGATAGGGTAGAAATTGTCTTGAAAATGCAGTTTCAGAAATGGGAATCTTCAGATGCCTAATTTTTAATCAGTTTCACATAAATTGGTATTCACGCACTCACTCCTGTCTTTCTTACAAGTCTAACCATGTGAAACAGGCTTCATCTTACAGAATTGGCTGTTACTTCACATCTATGTTACAAGACTTTGGGCACTGTCATCATGCAACCCCTTTATTGGGATAGCTGAACCAATAATGGGGTTCGTGTTTATTTTTGAGTGAAGGGTGTCAGAAAGGACACTTTTCTTCTATACAAATCTGCCATTACCAAGACTGTGGACAGAGACGTCGTGCTATGTTTGATCGTCACAGAAGATTACTTAGTTGGGATCAGGACCGAAGGGTTTTTCATTTCTCGCTGGAGCTCCTTCTCATCACTTGTTGATACAAACGTGTTCTGAATCCTTTTGGACCACCTTAATAAAGCTTAAGAGAATTTATTCTACTGATAAAGATGCTGGACTAAAAACAGGGAAAGCTGAGATCTGTTCTGGCTTAGGCACAAAAGCCAGCTTGGTGACTTTTAAGTTCATTCCTTCTCAGTCCTAGGAAGAAGGCAATGGTAAACCACTTCCAAAAATATCGTCTAGAAAACTGCATTTCCATTAAGCTCCATCAAAGGAATAAATAGAAATGAAGTTGTGTTCCTTTGATCCGTGTAAATAATTTGTTAATATTAATTTGTTAAATATTAATTGTTAATATTTATACACACACAAACACACACACACATAGAGAAAGAGAGAGTTATAGAAAGCTATGTTTTAAATATACACACATTCCAGAACTAGACAAAAATTATCCCAAACAAACAAACCTTTGCTGAGCTCTTTGACTTCCACAGAAGGGAAGAGCAGAAATCGGATATTTACGGAATATTCAGCCAACCGGGAGCCATGGTGAGGAACACTATAAAATACAATTCCCCGTGTGCTGTCCACTATGGAAGCCATTTCGGGGTCCATGGAAGCATCCAGCAGCATTTTCTTGACCAGAAGACCTGAAAAGAAAAACAGCTATGAAGTGGGATCAATGCAGGGCTGTGATGCTTATTACAGAGACACAAGATAGGAAATCGCTCTCTCAGAACTCACTGAAGACCTCCTGGTTTGATTTCTTTACAGAAAAGGAGGGTCAGTCGATTTTTCCTCCCCTGGAAAAGGCCTCTTTCTACAAGCCCCAGACCACCCCTACCAAGTGCAAGAGATACCAAATTGACCATCAGCCCTGTCTAGTTATATGCATAGTACCATACAGTTATTTAGAAGCCTTACATGTCCGCCCATCTTAAACACCTCTGGGCGGGTCAGAGGAACTATAAAACTAATAAATAAAACAATCATAAAAACAATTAAAAAAACTGTGACACAATAAAAACAAAAAACCTGCAACCTAAGTGTCTCCCACAGCAGGTTCAGCTACCCTTCTTTCATGCGTCCTATTACACAATCCCAGCACCTCAGTAAAATGGGAGATCCTTGAAGGAAATGGGCAGCGAAGAATCATGACTGATAAACAAACAAGCAAACAAACCAGCCAAGTCTTAACAAACAAACAAACCAACCAAGTCTTAACAGCCTTTTGAAAGGCTAGAAAGATGGAGGGCCTGTTGAAACACCAGCAGGAGGGTATTCCACAGGGCAGGGGCAGCCCTGGCAAAGGCGTGCTTCTGAGGTCCCAGAAGACCTTCCCATCTTAAGGGAAGATGGACTATGTGTACAATTGTGATGACTTCTATATATCCCTTCCTGTAAACTGCTGAATGCCAGGAACTAGGATCTTAATATTTTAGGGTAACTCTTAAAACGAATGCACTGTATATAGTCTTCTAAAGTGCAACTGTCAAAGAGTTCAATTCCTTGTAGAGGGTTCTGAATGCCATAGAATAAAATCTGGCTCCCCAAATGAGTCCCAGTAAGATGAAATGGGTCACACTGTGCCTCCTGGAAGTCAATGTAAGCAGTCACATTTAAAAATAATATAACTTCGTGAATCTCTCTGCTTGCCCTTCAGATAAACAGATACGAAAGTGCAAAAACAGACTGAGGGGATGGAGGCACTTTGGGTCACATTGAGAAAGCCAACTGGCACTGTGGAGATAATATGACATTTTAAATAGAACTATTCCAAGTCAGTGCATGTGAAATCTTAGCTTCTCCATTCATTTTTCAGAGGTTGTGGCTTATAGGAAGAACAAAAGTTTACTAGAGGGTGATCTCATGTTTTGACAGATATATGGTGGATGCGTCCTGTGCCAAAGGATAGCGTCAAGGCTCAGAACTTGAAATGTCAATACTCAGCAGAATACAAACAAATACACTGAAAGAACTACTGGGGAAAAGCCACTACTAAAAGTTGTCTCAATTTCCAATGGAATGGATGTGGGAACAAGCAGAGGTTATAGAGAGGTAACCAAATTACTATTTTATTCATTGGTTTATTAAATGGTCAAGGAGAAGCCTAGTTTCTAGATATTGTTTCCCAGTAAACACAGAGCCCAAGGACACATTAATTCATCATCGCTTTCATTATGCCCCCAGCCCCCCCAAAATTTCAGCAGACACTTTGGAAACTACAAGAAAGGGCTTAGAGGAGATGAGTATTCAAAGAGATGCTTACCATCCTGTTATGCTTGCAAAGGAAATCTACCAACAAGGTGTATTGGAACACATGAAGGGTCTAGGTTGTGTTAGCAGTGCAGTTAGGAAATAAAAGAGTGCCAAAAATTAAAGGAAGTTGGGCTCATTAAAGTTTGAATACAAACATGCTAAAGAGGCAGAGAGCAACAGTGGGGAAGAAGGTCTGTAACTAGTCATCCACATAAGGTTTTTAAGACTGTTTTCTGACAAGAGTGGCATCTAGAAAATCAGAATTTTCAGGAGGGAACTACTGAAAATCCACAAACAACACACTGAAAATGCACTAGTGGCTGAAAATACACCACATCTAAACACATATCCTATGCACCACTATTATTATAAATCCACGTATTAGGGGTTACTTTCTATGTACTACGATCCTATGAACACTGCCTTCAAACGAAACCAATGTACTATATTTACAGGACTAACAAGCTTGAAGTAATTCATTTAAAAGTTGATACAGAATACAATGAATTTACCGCCCATGCTATGCGACAGCCATATGAGAGGTCTGTCTCCAATGCCAGCAGCTCTTAGTTTCTTGAGAAGCTCAGTACTTCGATATGCAAGAGATTCTCTGCAGATGAGACAGCAAACAAAGCATGAGGGGCAAATATAGCAAGGCAAGCATATCCTGAAGAATTATATTATTTCTTGGCAGCTTTATTCAAATTTCCTTAAACTCAGCTTATGCCATAGAGTAAGTTATTTTTCCCCATAGCATCCACTTGTGTCAAAATGTTGGAATGTTTTAGGGCAGCAATTCTGAAACTTTTCTTACAAGTGGATCAGTATGCCACATTACCGAAACCTTTAGAATAGTGTTTCCCAACCCTAGCAACTTTAAGATTGTGTTCAAGTTCTAAAATACGTAACAATGGCCACACTATTTGGGAATTCTGGGAGTTGAAATCCACAGATATTAAACTTACCAAGTTAGGCTCTTTCTTCTACTAGTATCACCACAAAAACTAGGTGTCAACAACTCATTGACTATTGGCATTACAACATACGTGACCTTCCAAACAGATTTCATAATTTAATTAAAAATATAAACAATTACTATGGAGACACTAAATATCATCAGGTTTAAGCATATTTAGTGAGATTTGGGGTGGGAATGTCAAGATCTGATGAAATGTTATGCAAGAATATAAAAAAAACTTGAGAGATTGCAAGATCTTGTTAGATTCTGGCTGTACAAAATATTTTTTTAATCAAACCTTGCTTAAAACAATGGTTAGCATCCAAATAATCAGATCAATATGCTGTAATTCATGAGATGTATATATCTTAGAACATGTTTTCTGGTAAGCACAGGGGATTTTGGCTGATATGTAAAACAGAATGTTTAAAGCTATGTCACAAGGAGAAGGGCGGGATATAAATGCAATAAACCTAAACCTAAACCTAAACAAACATGGGAAGTAATGCATTATTTAATACTTTAGATAAGTATCTGTACACAGCTATTTAACATCTCTTTAGATTACTGTGGATATCAAATAATCTCTATTCCAAATATTAAATTAAGCAGCTGCAGTATTATCCAAGTCAAATCTCCTTTTGGAGAAGAGGGAGCAAATTTGGCAGCACATAATCACATTAACTGGGACAAAATCACTGTTGTGGGAATATCAAGTTTCCCCACATATTCTTCAGGGAGCAACTACTATCTATGTATGGTTGCATTAGGAGGATATTGAAAATGGTTTGACAAGATTATATGAATTCTGCCAAAGTTTATTCAACATTGTTAAATCAGGTTAAATTTTGTTAAACAAATCATGGATTAATTCAATAACTGAACCCAGGTAAAATATTTTAAGACTGATCTTGATCAATTCTGGCCAGGCTCTTTTAGAGTTTACAGAAAAGGATCAATCTGTTATTTTAATCAAATGCAGGTATGAATTTAGACTGTTCAAAACATATCAACATACATATAATATTATTAGTATTAAATATTAATATCATAATGTAAATATATAAGCAATATATTCACTTCTAAAATATACAGAATGATGTGTATAGAAACATAACAGAGTTTCAAAGTTTCTGCTCCCCCGTTCTTTACCTGTAGCTCTCTACAGGACATTTTGTTCTCCAGTCACTAAGGTGGGTATCATATTCCACAGAAATAATTCTAAGCGATGGGCAGTCAGATGCTAACCAAGTCTAAATTTAGGATACAAGAAAACAAAACAGAAAACAATTGCATTTCAGATAGGTGTTTAGGCTTCAGGTTATGCAATGAGGATCAGCAATATACTTTCAAGCGAGACGAGTGAATCAGAAGAGTAAACTATGATTGCAGGGCATATCATCTGAAATGACTTGCTAGCAGGTTCTATTGCCTTAATTTCAGCAACCCAGCATTAGTCTTATAAACAACTCTTGTGCCTTTAAATCCATAAATATAGGGCCAAAGTTTTCATTTGACTCTTCTAGGACATAATGTTTCTATCATTCTGATTGGTTGATCTCTATCAATTAATCAAAGCCTCTGCATTTGGATATGTTAGCAGGCTACAGAACATTTTAGAAAAGACCAAGCTGTCACTTATGACTTGCTACACGTCTAAGCATAAAGCAGAAATCAAGGAAGTGATACCTTCTCTGGGTACAGGTATAGTAAAAGGAAAAAAGAAATTGCTTCATCAGGAGAGAATCTTGATGTACATGTACAGAAGCAAATAAGTCTGTTGTGCTGGTGATTACATAGGTGCCTCTGAATAAATAGATGTTCACACGAATGCTACTCTCTGTTATTTATGCATAACAGAGCATAATGTAGAGGAACTGAAGAGAAACAACTGGAAAAGAAGTATGAAATACTGGGACTTACTAACTGAAGTTGAACGCTTATGGAAAAAGAAATGTATTGTTAAAGCAATCGTAATTGGAGTCCTCAGAGCAATACCTAAAGGATTTTCTCGATATCTGGCAATACTGAATCTATGAAACCTGAATACCCTAACTTCACAAAAAATACCCACCCTGCTTGGAACTGCCTATAGAAGGGGTGTCAAACTCGCCACGTCACATGACGTGTTGTGACGTATCGCGACTTTTTCCTATTGTCGGAGCTGGGGTGGGCGTGGTTTTGGCATGACGGATCCGGCCCATGGGCCGGCAGTTTGACACCAGTGACTTATAGTCTTAGATGCAATTTTAATAATCCTTAGGTTCTTGGTTAGGACTTGAATTATTAAGTTTCTTCCAGTCTTAGACTGTGAATTTAACTATAGATTACCCATACATCATCATCATCTAGGTAGTCCTGGGGTTTCAACAGGAACTGGTGACCAGGACTGCCGTTGTTACACTATGCAGTCATAAAAGGTGATGTCTTGGGACCTCATTGCTTAGCAACAGCAATCCTGACAGTCCTGGTTCATACAACCCAAGAGATGTAGTTAATGATTCTCACTTTTGGCCAACATTCGCTGTAGTCATCTTCTGCATCCATGTCTTTGTCATCTGTAGAGTACTCAAGGTCCTGTTGTCTCCATGTTTTAAATGCTGCTCCCAAAAGGCCATGAACAAAAAGGACATCGGCTTTAATGGGCTCACTGGTACTGGAGAGAAGTCATAAAGAAAAATCTATTATTAACAAGAGCATCTAGGCCAACATGCTGGTTGGGAATTCCTGGAAGTGTAGTCCATGCATCTTAAAGCTGCCAAGGTTGAAAAACAGTAATCTAGGCAAAGAATTCTCTCTCAAATAAATACAATAATTCCTATCCCATCTCTACTTAAATTATTAGTAATGGTACAGATCAAAACTGATGGAATTATTCTAAGTTAAATTCCAAACCAGAATAAGGAATCAAATGTTGACTTATATCTCCTCACATATACCCAGTTCCTTCCAAAACCTCAGATTTACTCCTTTTTTATCTCCTTTTTTCAAGCTTTTTCTGCAGGCTCCGTTAGCCAATTGAACTCTGGACTTCTTACTATCTATTGTCTGAAACTATTTTGTGCCCCTTAGCAAGATGTTAATCTTAGGTAAATTTGCATCTTTCCCTTTTCTCAGTTACTAATTTTCAAAGGCTTAACTGCCACAAGATTGTATAGCCTAGGTCACTCACAACATACTACTGTCTCGAAGGCTTAAGCATTATGCATAATGTACAATATTACCATCCTAAGGCAGTGCACAATATTATAGGTAGTTCTCATTTAGAAACCACAATTAGAACTGGCAACTCGGTCACTAAGAGACATTGTTGCTAAGTGAAACCATATCTGTGCTTATGATATTGCTTTACAGATCTGTGACAGTTGTAAATGTGAGGACTGGGTGTAAAGTTACTTTTTCATCAATGTATAATTTCGAACATTCGCTAAACAAGACAGTCACTAGACAAGAACTACTTGTAGTATATTTATAATGCTTGCCCCAGAAGCAAACATAAAGCCAAAGCAATTTACATAAGTTGTCAAACATCTAAGGCTAATGAGATTAATGCAAAAGGTTGTATCCTGCTTTTAAATTATTTGATCCATGCTGTGCATACCAAGAGCCAGCTAAGGTTGAAAACATTCGCTGTTTATGCAGCCAGGCAATATTGAAAATCTGACTCAGTTTATGACAGTTTCCTGAATTTTTTCCTTCCATTCAGAATACAGGAAGGGGAAACACAGAAAAGAAAAACATATCCCTGCACAAACAATTCCTCAGGGCCAAACTGTTGGATATATGGTTACAGCAACATCTGATGATTCATTGGTCCATTTTTACAACTGGATGTGTGAATCAACTTCCCTGCAAAGGACTGGCTATATCAGCAGATTAAATCATGCTAAAGTATGGTTAGAAATAAACCTGAATTACAAAACAGGCTTAATATAAAGAAGATAGAGCTTGCTTACTTGGTTCGATATTGTGGGTGTAAAATGTATACACCTTCTGGATACTTTTCTTGTAGCACTTCCCTATCCAGATTAGCCAAGGCTCTTGCAGCATGAGAGGACTCCATGACGCGTGAAGACTTCATCATAGCTGCCAGTATAGAAACCCATCCTAGCATTGAATTAAATAAAACATTTGCATCATTGTTACCTACTCGGATGTTTTATTAACAAAGGTATATTTAGTAAGTAATAAATAGGTAGGAAAGTATTATATACATTGACTGTTTTTCACCACATTTTTTTCTGGCAATTCTCTGCAAAATTATTATTTGTTAGCAACTGGAAGTCTAAACATTTAATTTCTCCTGTTCATGTTTGAGAATATGGTGTAAGACCGATTATAACCAATAATTCATGCAGCAATATCAAGACAGACAGACAGATCATGCCACCTTATAGATAGAATGCATACTGTCTGCTCAAACCCTCCAGAAAGAAACTGCCATCCTGTCAGGAAAATCTTTGTTTTAATCATTCATCTAGTTTATCCATTAATTCTTTCCCTTTTGGAAAGGAATCCTGTGTAGAAAAATGCACTGCTTCACACTGCAGACATATAAGAAAGTTCTGATCAATTCCTTTACTCCGAAGATAAATTCAATATACACCCACACTATGCTCAACCAATGAGAAAATATATTTGACAAAATTATATGAAATTGCCTGGAATATTAAATAATTAAAATCCCAACTCTAAAGTATTGATTTCCTAAACCCTATGACTCTTGCAAGGAAACTTCACAAGACAAAATATTTTAATAAAATATTTTTCAATTAACAACAAATGCATTTGCTACTACCTGCACGTATTATCGATGCATGAAGACGTTCATCTAGTGCCATATTTCCAATTATGTGAATGATACTTCTTTGTATCTTGCGAGAATCTCTATGGAGGTGATACAGTTTTTGCAAGAGTTGAAGTCCCTTGTTTGCTTCAATTTTATTACAATGGCTAGGAATCTGAAGTGATAGAGAAATTGCAGTAATCAGCTGTACTTTAACAGTGTGCAAATCAAGTATAAAATTATATCATGCACAAAGAGTCAGGGGGGGAAGGGAAGGTTGACTATTTACCCAGACACCGAAAAAAAATTAAAAATGACTTGAGAATGCCTACGCTGTGTACATTGCAGTACAGTCCTATTTCCTCATAACATGACTAAGTAGAATAGTACTTACATGTTTTACAATCTATCTTGGGTTTATAACAAGGCTTGAGCAGGGATTTTCTCTTTATGCCTTTAACTTGGGCCTGAGAGGGCTGCAAATGGCTGAGTTCACAAAGTTTATAAAGTAGCAGCAAGTGTGGGTACAGGCAGAACCCAGAATATAATTGAAATTAATTGGTTTGATCAAAAGGACCGTTCATTTAACAGGAAAATATTTCTTTCATCTATTTTAAAATGAAAATCATATCCTTTTACCGTGAAAAATAGGAACCATTTTCTAACTCTACGTCTATATTGTCAGCTTGTTTGCACAACTGAGATCCAAAGAGGGCTCCAGGCCCAGATTGGTGCCTCTGCTACATTACCTTGGAATGTTCTACTAAAGCTTGCAAACAAAAGAGTTCCACTGTCTTTGCAGGTATGGTACTGAGACTTTCACAGTATGGAAGCCCATTACCTCCAAAACACCACAAGCCTCCCTGGAAGGAAAAACACGTTGGAAATTAATTTCAGAACAACAGAATGAACAACCTTAAGTTTGTTTTACAACAACATTTATGCAACAATGTGTAGTGTTTTCCATTTTTTAAAAAATTAAGCACAAAGAGTACAGCGTACTCTAATGGGTCAAAGGAAACAAGAGACCACTTTACAGAAAAGATGCTGCAACTTCAAACCATTTCGAAAATACTGACCAGCAAGGTAGAAGCATCACTATCCTAGCAGCCATTGGAGCATTCTTGTTACTAAAATTACTTTCCACGCAAATTACTCAAGAGGGATATGAAAATTTAATAATTTTTAAACAAACATTTTGTTATTCTGGAGGCAAAAAATTTCCAGTAAATAAATTCCAATAAGAATTTACTCTTCGTTATCAGTCAGCTCAAGGAATTGGTATAACTCAGGGGTCTTCAGACTTGGCCCTTTTATGACTTATGAACTTCAACTCCCAGAATTCCTCAGCCAGGCATGCTGGCTGAGGAATTCTGGGAGTTGAAGTCCACAAGTCATAAAAGGGCCAAGTTTGAAGACCCCTGATATAACTGAAATATGTAATCATCTGGAAGCAAGCAAATATTTATTACCATCTTCTCATTTCTACTGGTTCAGACCAGCCCTCTAAATTAGAAACTTGTTGGCAAGACAAAATAACTTCAAATTTACTCAAAGACTATGTCACTTTTTATATTGTGGATTTAATAGATTTATCTCTGGATTCATAGGCCAACAAATCAAAAGACCCAACATGGTGTACAAAGTTAAGACGCTGTAAAAATGCAAAGTAAAATGGGAACCAGAAATATCATACATTAAGGAGGAAACACACAAATAGAACACCAATTCTAAGTACCCAGTTGACTAGAATGTTGAACTCTTTAAGTTTTGAGAATATACCTTTTGGGCAGCGATGGTCTGGCTGCTTTCTCTTAAAGCTAAAGAGGTAAAATACTGTACACACTGATCAAGATCTTTTTGAGGTAAAGCTGCCAAAAGCAGTCGAAGTTCATCTTCTAAGCAACAAGTCTGAAATATGAAATCACAAACATTTCTGTTACTGTATCTTGTTGATGAATGACTCACATAAAAAAACTAGGATTTGTAAATGTTTTTATGGTAGGAAGCAGCAGGACTTTTAGTCTATAAAGTTCCAGATTAGGGATGCAATCCTTTTCTACTGAGACCATATTCCTTCAAGGATAATCTGATTAGGGAAGCATGCCTACGATGGCAGGGCAGAAACCAGAGGATATAGTACAGACATAAAGTAACTCCTAACAAGCACCTAGCTAACTATTTCTCTCTCTCTCTTTCTCAAAATAAGTATTTTGGAAAGCAGCTGCAACTACAGACATGAACCGGGTTTATATTTCCAGTTGTTCCAGAGTACCTCCTCTGAATTAAATCCAAAGTATGGCACAGATTGATTTTGGAGGGTTTTCAGAATGTGAATAACAGAGCTTGCCTCTCAGTCTTTAACTCCTCCAAACATTGATCACTTCTACTCCTATGGATGGGAAAGACAGCAGTCCTGAGTCCTCTCAATGCAATTCCCATTCTTACACTCCACAAGGTGAAGTCTGGGGTTTTAAGACTTGTATTGTGTTACCTCCAGTGCACTCCTACTCCTACCCTTCCAATGACATCTCTGGGCTCTTTCTCACAGCCATATTCATGAGCTTTCCACCGATTCTTGAATTTGGAGGAAACTATATTGGCATATTATAAGTTGCACTGCTCCCACAATATATCTCTTTCGCACATCACCAAGGAGGCCAGGCAGAGTTGCTATCCTGAAATAAACTAGGGCAAGGTAGTTTCAAGACAGCAACTACTGGATGTCTTAGGTTGTTCCCCCTCCCACCCAGCATTGGCTACTGGTGAGAAAAAAAAAACAGACACCAATTGCTTTTTTGAACATGAGGCTCTTTGGGAGCTAAGGCTGGCTTGACTTTTATCCTTTACTTCTAATAGGAGTATCAATATTCTATGAAATGATTTCATGGCACCTAGAGGACACTCAGATTACTCGTAGACTGATATACTTAAGTAAAACAACCTAAGAGTCTTGGGGACTGGCATTCAGAGATTGATTAGAGCAGACATGTCAAACACAAGGCCCAGGGGCCGGATGCGGCCCGCGAAGTGGTTTCATGTGGCCCGCGAAGCCATCCTGGAAACAGTGAGGGAACGGCCCCCGTTGTCTTGGCCCTGGCCGTCCGGGACCCGATGTACAATGTACAATTTTGTGGTGGCCATCTATACTGAAACGCATTCAGTCTTACTCCACAAGGCCGTCTAGAAACAGCGAGGACCCAGCCCCTGCCGCGTCGGCCCCACCTCCTGGGTGCATGCTGGGGAGGTATCACCTTTTGTGAGGAATGAAGAAATGGACCATGTCTTGGCGCTTGTCCTGGCCCCATCCCCTTCTGCCAGAGACCCTCAGATCTGTCCCACTTCTGCCCAGGCCCCCACAGGCACCCTTGACGCAAACAATGTAGAGCTGGCCATGCCCACCCAGTAGGCCACACCCACTCGATCCACGCCCACCCAGTAGGCTGCACCCACCCTGGCCACACCCACCCGGTCCCCCAAGGGAACCGCAATGCTGATGCGGCCCTCAATGAAATTGAATTTGACACCCCTGGATTAGAGATACAGAGCAGAGAAGCCCAAATCAGAAGAGAGCCCTCTGGGTTATTGTGCCTCTGGATCTTTCTTGCCTTTCTCCCTCCTGAGGCCAATTTCCCCCAGGAGTCCTTTCAGTCAGGCAAAGAGCCTCTCTCTTCTCTTAGGATTTGATTGGGAAAGGTTGAATAAAAAAAGGATTTTAAAAGTATGCCTGTCCATATGGATGCCCTCTGGCAACTGCATTATGCTACCTTGGTTAATTCCCAAGTATTAATTTTCAAGTATCTACATAAAAGAAGCTCCCACAATAAAGGTCGTTCGGATCTTATTATACATACATCTTTTGGTTTCAGTAAAAGATGAGGAGGCAGGAAAAATCGCAGATCAACATCTTCACACCGAGCTAAAGCAACAGCAGTTCTCTGGTCGCTTGTTTGGGCAACAGTCCTGTATTGATAATCTGTACTAAAACAAATATAAAGTCAGAATTTCCACTAATCCGAAATATATTTTTAATAAAAACTATATAAGCAAGCAATACATCTTTGCAATTATAAACACAATGAGGATAAGCTACCTGTTTGGAAAGGACTACATACCTAGGGATGGCAGATATAAACAAATTCCCAATTTTGAAGAACAAGGACAGTGGATGGGGGGAGGATTCAGTTGTAACATTGTTAATAAAACTGTAACACCTGCAGTTTGTATTGTAAAACAAAAGTTGCCAGTTTAATTTCAGACTCCTTTGAATTGCAGTAGCATTCTTAAAGCACAGGTTTCCAATAGGAAGTCTGATTTCTCACTGTAAAACATCCCCCCCCCCACTGGTTCTTGCTGAAGTAGAGGTCAGAACTGAAAGGACTCTACTATTTCTAAATAATTGTGAGTATCAAGCATTAGCCCATATTGTAATTGAAATTCAGCAAAGCAACAAACCCCTTGAGGATCCTAATCAGTGAAAGGTTCTCCAATACAAGTTCCAATTAAAATGAATGGGTTCCTGTACTGTTCCTGTTAAGTCTGTGGAACTCGTATAAGAAAACTTTCTGATATATCAGTTGGCTCTCCTTTTCATAGTACTATGTAAGAGATAATAGCCAACAGCAAGAACTCTGTAGCTATCTTAATAGATACCATTACCATGCCAGTAACGATTGGCGGCCAATTCCTGCACAGCTTGTAATCGGACCATTTTATCATTTGATTGACTTCTTTTCACAAGCAGCCACAAGGCATAATCACGCTCTTCTGCATCAAGTGTACTGAAGCGTTCTTTACCAAACATAAAATAGGACAAGATTATTATAGTCACTTTATTTCCATCTTCGTATTATCAGCAGTACTGTAACTAAAGGTAGTATTTTTAGAGTAACATTTTAAAGCATACTATTTCCTGGATCCACATTTAGATGACAATACCAAACTGATCTTGGCTAATCCAAAAAGGTAAGCATGTAAATACTTGGATGATACACCTCCAGAGAACACTAGAGCTAAAGTCAAGATTGGGTTACAAAATCTCTCCAAGAATAAGGTAATGGTAAACAAGTTTGGTAAAGTTGTCAAGAAAACTATACTTCAATATCAAGTTTGATTTGAAGGAGATTTTTCTTAATATAAACGAATGACCATTCAATTAAATAGAGTGCTTTGAATCTGGAAACTGGAGTTTACTGGCCATAACCAATGATTAGGACTTGACAGAGATTGTAAAACAAGAATATATATGGAACTACATTTAAATATCCAAAAGTCATTTTTGCATCCCAATGAGAATACTATGCATTCCAGATTAAGAAAGACCTTCAAGTTAACACCTCTTCAGTGCAGGAATCCAAACTAAATCTTTCCTGCCAGATGGCAATCAAGTCTGCTTGAATGCATCCAGTGAAGCACATTATTTCACTGAATAATTGGCTCCTACTATTGCACTGATTTTAAGCCTAAATCTCTGAATAAACATTTACATGATATTTTATTTATAAAACAGCAATTGACTTATAAAACATTTAAGTGTAACTAGCATATTCAGAACCAATTCCAAACATTTAGTCACTGTTCCAGGTAACAAATCTGGGTTCTTAGCCAGATCATGGCACTTTGCATTTTAGTTATATATATGACAGGCAGAAATTTATTGATTTTCCAATATGCAGAAACAGCAATGGGTGGAGAGAATGGAAAAAGCTGCATCAATTTAGTTTCTGCATGGTATGAACTATTAAAGGTACAAAGTTTCTGCTTTTTAAAAAAATAACAGTTTAAAAAAATAACAGCGAGTTAACAATGACATTCCAAACCTACCATCAAAGGGCTTCTGGAAAATTCGAGCATGCATTTCTATAATTTTTTTGGCTGCTCGGTGAAGCTTCTTTCTCACTTGATATATGATTCCTACAAAAGCAACAGAGAGTTCATTTTGGTCAAATAATATATTGTCAGTCCTACATGTAGACCAAAGCAGGAAACCAATTCTACAAGAAGAACAAGAACTACATTTTAGTGAGGTAAGCCATAGTAACCAATTTTGCAACTTTGCTTGTGGTTTCTCTTCCCACCCTTTTTCGACCAGTGAATCAGGGAAGAGTCAGCCTAAGTCTCTTCTGAATACTGTACTATTTCCCTACCCAGGACCAAAAGAATGCTTCTGTAATTTTTGTTTATATAAGTTTCTGAATATTTGCTTCAAGGCCATCTCCCTGGCTCTCTCCATATATAAATTCCTGTTAGATTCAGCAGAAAGAGAATGTCACTTGCATCTTTCCTAATATTGTAGCCTCACCTTCCAAATAAAACCTTGAAGCCCTGATTGGGAAAAAGTGTACTACGAGCCAAACAGGAATGTAACTGATACCAAACTAAATACTGATCACCAATTAAAGATTAAGGGTTGACTTGCTCTCAGAAATGTCTGAGGATCGCTAAGAATGGACTATTTGTGGGAATAGGGGAGATATCACCAAATGAAGCTTATGATATGGATAGCCATACTCTATTAATACAATTTCTTAACAATAGAGACACAATAAGAAGAGAAAAAATGATTATTCAACTGGATTTAAAAAGAATATAGAAAACATCCTGGTCCCAGCCCAGTAAATTTCCAGTAGAAGAGAATATAAAAAAATGAGAAAAACATTATGAGGGAAAAAAAGAGAAAATAGAAGGGAATATGAGTAAATTTCTTCCATAATCTCAATAGTGTAATGTTCTTCCTTAAACATTAGGATGAATATACTATTGTTCCAATTCTTATTTAATATTTCCTACATTCAAACTGTGTTTCTAATTCCTTCTACTTTCAACAATAACCTAGTTTTTCTTACCTTGATAATCACTTTGATCTAAAGAAACTGTTCGCAAGTAGATGTAGGATTTCAGTTTTTCTTGCTGTACCACTTGGGTATCAAAACTGAATAATTTTCTTAAAGTCAAAACTTCATAAGTAGCAAATATACAACCACTTAAAAAAGCAGAAGACAGATATCAATGTAAGCATTAAAGTACATGTTTAAACCTGATTGCAGTTACGTAGATTGCGGTTACGTAGAAAACGAACCTATCTCAATGTACAGTTTTAACTTCTGATCCAAGCTGGAAATTCTTGTCCATAATTTTATCAGCTGAAGAATTAGTGTTCCTCCCCCCACTCTTGGTGGGGAAAATGTGGAATTCTACATATGCCATCCTGAAAGAACATGTCAATCTAACAAACAAAAAGAAATGTTCCGAAGGAGGAGAATATTTGTAGCTCAAGGTTGAAATGAGAGATCCTGGGTGGTCTCTCAGCTTGGTTGTTTTCTTGCAGATGCTTCACTACCAGGTAACATCATCAGTGTTAGAAGAGAGCAGGGTTTGCTCTCATTTTATATATTATATATTTTATATATTATAAATTGAGTATATAAAAGTGAGAGCAAACCTACCCCCTTCTAGCACTGATGTTACCTAGTTCAGGTAATGAAATATCTGCAAGAAAACAGCTAAGCTCAGAGAGCACCAAGAAGAAATGTCCATTCGCTTCCTTTTGCCCGCTTTCTTCTCTCTTCCTCTCTCATAAGCAGAACTCTCTTGATTCCTCTTGATATCCAAACTAGGCAAATCAGGATATGGTTGTGGGATAGACGTTCCTTGCTACCTTCTAGCCATGGTCTATCCCCTAATCATATCCTGATACTAGAAAGTAGCAAAACAGTAAATCATGCAGAGATGGAGCAGGAGGAGTATTTCAGATCAGCGCAAGCCACTCAATTATCATCTCACAGTCTTTAATGCTTTACAAGTATAGGTAGCAATAAATAAATACATGAACTAAGCAGGAAACACAATCTGCTTCTAAATTTAAATTTGAAATAAGGAAAGGCAACACTTGTTTGTGGATTAGAAACCAAGAGAAAAGGAGAGGGGAGGGGAGGGGAGGGGAGAGGAGAGGAGGCCTGTCAATTGTTTCAAAGCTCACAGTTTCTAAAGTTTTCAGGAATGACAGATTCACATGGCTCACATTTAAGGGCCCAAATTTTAAATAATAAAATAATGCAGGAATTGACTGTTATTATAGACTATGAAATATATTAAATAGGGTCATTCTTAATTTTGCACCAGCTTTCAGTGATAGATAATATTGTCAACATTACTATATACACAGCATTTAAACAATTACAACATACTATACATATTCACAAGAACAGCTGAAAAAATAATACATTAAACACCTACAAAGTATGATACTTTATGTTTATGCTAGAAATAAAACTGATGTTTGCTAATAAAAACTTACCCCAGAATAAGTGAGCCAGTTAACTTCACAATTTTTCCTTAAAAATTAAAAGTTTAGTATCACTGCATGTGCAAAATGGATGCTTTAGTACAAACATTATATCAATAATGAGTTATATACAGAGGTTAAGCTAACTGTACTTAGTTATTATTAAAATAAATACATGTGAGTCCATTTAACTTCTAATTTAAATATTGCTTATTTATTAACTGTTTTTATGCCAATACAATAAAAAACACTCTTGGAGGTTCTCATAGAAAAACAATGGAATATAAAACAAGTCCCATGCAAAAATAAAAATAATGCTGCAATAATTCAAAGAGGACAAAAGGATGGTAATATCGAATTAAAATAAATCAGGGGAAGGCTCTAAAAACGAATCCAACCCTTACCAGCTTGTGGAATGTCAGAAAAGAAGGAATCAGACTGATCTCCATAACATCAGCACTGCAACAGAAAAGCAGTACCTCCTTGTTTCAGTCCCCCCCCCAAGCTCCTGAAAGTGTGGAATGCATACCAGTTTCTCACTGTTATAGCTAGTTGGTTGGACCACAGATGCTGGAGAAAGTGGATCTGAATGTATCCAGGTAACAAGCCATGAAGGGCTTTGTAGATCAAAGCCAGCACTTTAAACTGGACCCCAAAATCAACTGGCAACCAATGCAGGGTCCATAACACTCCAAAAGCTCCCATATTTGGGGCTTAAAGGAGTACAATTTTTGAATATTTATAACCTACTAGACAGATAAGAGCATGAGGTAGTGATATCAAGCCTTTAAGTCTCAGGTAAGGTCCCAAATAATTAATTTAATGGTAATGTAATTAATTCCTATTCAAGGTTATGCAAAACTAAGTCCTACTTCATTGGGAGCAAGTGACAGCTCTGTGTATATGGGTCTAATCACTTAAAAAAAA